CCGGAGGCAACTCCCCCTTGAAGTTGGTGAAGGCGTCCTTCCAGTAGTCCACCGCAGCCTGGCAGTCAGCCTCTTCCCCGTCTTGAACTGCGTAGGCGAAGGTACCTTCGATTGCGGTGGTCAAGCCTTCAGGTTTTTGGTTCTGTTCATAACGGGCGGTTTACAGCACAAAGAAGAGGACGCATGAGCAGTTGGATTTTTTGGGCGTGTATGTAATATGTGCATGTGCGTGCCTATGTGCGTATAGGTGGCTGGTTACGCTGGTATTGTGGAATCCGAGCGTGTATGCTAGCCTCGGAGGCAGGAGAAATTTCCGTGCCATGCCTCACTGTTTTAATGCCCTCGCAGACTTTTTCCAGGTATGTCTTGAGTTCGGCGGCAGCATTTTGAGGCTCGGTCTCGTTATCTTGAATTTTAAACATATTGTGTTGCGTGAACTCAGCGAAGCCAGCGGCGCTTCGGGCAACGTTCATTTGCTCCCAACACTTAACCCTCTCTGTAGTAAAAATCGGCACAAGGAAAATTGTTCAGGTTTTCTCCCATCTTCTCTTTGAAACTGTGCAAGTGAACGGCCTTGGAACTTACCCGCCGTGTTAGTAGTAGAGTCAAGAGAGTCATTAGGTTCTTCGATTTCTGGTTCTCCTTCATCGTTGTCGTGTTCAGTATGTCCATTCACTTGAGATTTATTATTTGCATCACTCCCAGCGGCATTTTCAACGGTAGTCGCCCAAGCCCAGTTGGCGTCTGAATAGAACATGGCGGCCGCCGCCACCGACAGCAACTTCAGGACAAACATTCTGGAGGCCCTAGGAGAAAACTTCACTCCTGGAAAAAATGCATATATACAAACATGGCAGAAACGATTTGAGCATTGAAGGTCACTTGGATTGACAGACGACCGCCAAGCCGGGAGGGCCTACGGCGGAGCGGGGGCGGTCGTGTGTCTGGCGCCGATATCTCCTACTTGGCGTTGCTGACTCGATCCACTACGGTTCACGGCACTTTTCTGGTCAAGCATTACTTCCACTTCATTTCACGTTTTTTATTACAAACATTGTAAGGAATAACTTAATGCCTGCCAGCTGGTGCACGCGCCGCAGCAGAGATCCTGCTCTGTGAGCCTCCCATCCCACTGGACCACAAACGAGGCAAATAGCAAGTTGACGTCGTGTCTTCTGGGCTTCCTTAGAATCTATATGTTTTGTTACACAAGTATATTTGAGGCTCTACATAGATTTATAGCTTCTCGTAGACTTCAGTTCATCTTGGCGGATACTCCCAATGTGCGGATTGCCCCGCTTGCATCGCATATGTTGCATTCGTTTTCAGCATAGGAGTTGCAGCGGCTGTCTCAACGTGTTTCCCTCTTGTTGTTAGCGCTTGGCAAACACTTCAAGAGCAAGGCATTTGGAGATAGGGGTCCGGCTGAGCATGAATCGCCAGCCTGATATCTGCTTACCCCGTGCGCTTGAGACGACCCCCGTGCTGATGGATCCAAAGTAAAGATGCTTGACACATTACACGCTGTTCTGGTGAGTCTACAAAACGGCTTGGCGTCCATATTTAGTGCTTGTTTCCGAATGCAATAGCGAATGTGCCAAAAAGCACAGGCCAAGCCCAGTGCTTGGGTGTGGAGGTTCGGTTTCTAGTTGCTTGGTTATATGCCTTAGAAACCACGATAGAACCTGTTCTTTTCTGATTTCTAGCATTGACCAGCATTGGCCAGTTCTCATTTTGCCACAGTCACGTAACTATGTGGAGAACTGCTTAGTGTACATCCACATTTACAACTGCATCTCCCACGCCCCACTTAGGGCGCTGTCTTCTATGTAGCCGTGCAGCGGTACCTGCATCTTCCTTCAATACGCAAACTAAAAATCGCATGCGCTGCTTATAACAAAAAAGAGAGTAGATAAGGAAACCTGATTCGCTTGCGAATATCCTCAGCCGTCATTACGTCCGTGAAATGACAGCTGTGCGTGCAGCACGACGGCGCACGATATGCGGCCGTATGCAGAATGAAACAACGCTGTCGAAGCAATAGATTTAGAGGGAAGCCCAACTATTCCGACGGACCAGATAATTCGGGCTTGCCCTTCGCCGCCACTGGTACCCCAAAGTGGCGGCTGTGCGCGCTGCGACTTGGTTCTGCAAGCTCAGCAGTTGTTCAGAAGACAACAGCGGCGAGTACAGCGGCAGCAAGGAGAAGACTGGCCGGGGTTGCTGCTACGGCACTACTGGGTTTGAAGGCCGCAGTGATTTTGTCCCACTGTTCTTGCCTGAGACGCAAACCCACTCCACTACAACTAGCAAACAGCTGGAGGGAAGGAGGAAAGAGTAAACAGAGCCCAATGGAAATACCTGGGACACCGAGTCTTACATTACGCTAAGTTGAAAATGGTACTTACGTATAGGGTAGTTCGTTTTCTGTCAAGGGGTGGGGAATCGTAACGCAAATAAGCGTTTTCACTTCCTTCTCTGAGCCTTTTGCGTTTTGCGTTGCGCCGCACGTGAAGTATGCACAATCAACCTTAGGATTCGGGTAGGGGTTGAAGAGGGAAAGAAAGGAGATATTTTGTGTACGGTCGTAAGGCGCCGTGCCTAGTGTGTACACCGGAGGCAGCAACCCGTTGAAGTTGGGGAATGCTGCCGTCCATAAGTCCACAGCAGCCTGGCAATCAGCCGTTTTGCCTTCTTGAATTGCGTAGGCAAATGTACCTTCGTTTCCGTTGATCAGGCCATCAGGGCCGCTGTCCTTTTCATACTGCGCAAAGTACCGCAGGACAAGCAGCTATGAGGCATACAATATTTTCACTGTGTAGATGTGTGCAAATGCCTACAAATGCGGCTAGTTCTGCCCGTATTATCTATTCCGCAGCAATATATATATGTATATACATGTATATGATGAACGCAGGAGACAAAAGGAACTTTCAGTGTCAAGCCTCACAGTTCTTATGGAATCGCA